TAGGGTTTTAGGGTTTAGGGGTTCAACAATCGCACATAAGCAAGGTGACCTGGCCTTGGGCACAAGCACGAACCTGCCATCCTTCGACTCTGTCTTGTCGCAGTCGCGGAGGCATCCTGGCAAGTATTTATGAGTTGGGCTGGTCGGGATACATTGCATTCTGCTTCTACACGCATAGTGCACTTGGTCCTTTCTTGTCGCTGGTGATGGCACTCCCACTCACACATCTGTAAGACGACTGAACTAGTGTGACAAAAGGCTCGGTGTTCGCACCGGCTTGCTTGGCCCCTGAAAGGATCGAAGTATACGATGGCCGCAAAACTGCCACGGGATTGCAGGCAACACTATTGGTTGTCACAATCAGCAGCACCCCAAACCCAAAGCTGGCTCACGAACTCATACCCAATCAAATCGATCAGCTTGCTCACGACGTGGCTTTGTAAGCCTTAGCTGCCCCCAACAAGTCCACAGCTCACAAATAACACAGGACATGCACATCAATGCCACATTGCAGTTGCCATGCAAGTATAAAACGAGATACGGCTTGTGCTTCTTTCTTGCAAACATCAAGCGCCTTGCCCTCGTTTCTAGCCTGTGTCATCGCCTTGTGATAGGCCACTGACTTCCGTGATTTGAGGGCCTTCTGCTCTGCATCCAATCCCTTGCCCGATGTCTTAGCTTTGGTGCCCCCATCCTTGGCTGCTGCTGCCTTCGGGTTGGCTGCTGGTCCTGTGGCTTTGGTCTTTGCTTTGGCTTTTGCTGCGGGTTTTGCCTTGGCTTCTGGCGCGGTTTTTGCTTTGGCTTTTGCTGCGGTTTTTGCTTTGGCTTTTGCTGCGGTTTTTGCTGTGGCGTTTGCTGCGGCCTTGGTTTTGGCCTGGGTCGTTGCTGTGGGCTTGCCGGCATCATCTCGCTTTCTCTTAGAGTGCTGCTCCTCAGGCTCAACATCCTCTACCTCGGCCGATTCGGCTTCGCTCTCCTCCGGCTCTGTCGCGACTGGGCTGGCTTCCTTTGGCTCCACAGGCTCCTCGTTTTGCTTGCGTCCTCGGCCCCGCCCCCTACCCCTTGCGGTGGCACCACGACCACCACGACCCCCTCGCCCCCCACGTCGGGGCGCCGATCCTTCCTCATCAATCTCCTCATCCTGTAGCCCAGCTGCCTTCTTGTTTTTCTTCTTTTTCAATTTTCCCCCAGACTGCTGAACCTGCTCTGCCGGAGACAATGCCTTGAAGGGCTCGGCATCGGGGCACTCGGGCAGCACCTCCTTTGCCTTAGGTGGTAACAGAATTTTAAGCTGACTGGATGTTGTGATCAAGCATGCTTTATACAATAGCTGCAATAATTTAGATCAAGCACTGTCGGTTCTCGGGATGCACCAGGGTCTGACTCTTCGTAGTGCAACGTGTGGTGGCTCTCCCTCCCTTCTTCACTCTCATGCTCGCTGCCCTCAGCAGCGACGCTTACCTCTGCCACAGATTCTGTGCCAAGGTGGCCGTCCTGGGCATCATCGTCGAGCTTGGCATCGGCAGCCACGTCGAGGCCACCCATGTGGAACTCCAAGGGCTGGGTCTCGAGGTTGTCTGGACCTTTTGAAGCATCCATGAATTTTGTAAATAATGCAGAGATTGCTTAGAATTCTATGCAAAGAGCAATTATTGTATAATAGCATCCAGGGCACATACAATGACATTTTCCACATGTTTGTTGGCATCAGCAATCCGCTGGGACTGCGACTGCACTTCAACACGAGGCTTCTTGGTCATGGCTTTGGCATTGGGATCTTCCAGGGTCCTCTTTGTAGTGATATGCGGAATTTTCAAGATCTTCTTGTGGTGCTGCGGGGTGGCCTGGGCCTGGGCTCTTGCTCTCATGTTCCTAGCTTTTACTTCGGCTAGCTCAGCTTCCTCCTCGCGTATCAGATCGGCTATGTCCCGCTCTTGCTTCGGGCTGTTCTTGGCTTCGCGTAGATCGGCTTCCTCCTCAGCAGTCAGATCGGCTAGGTCCCGCTCTCGCTTCAGGCTGTTCGGAGCTTTTGCTTCCGGTTCCAAAGACAGAATCTTTGCTTCTAGTAGAGCTGCTTCATCCTCGGCTAACAACCTCTGTAGCTCTCCCTCTTCGGCCTGGAGTAGCAGCTCTTCCAAAGCTAGCTGTTCCCGTAGGAGCTCAGCCTCCACATCCGAATCTCCTGAGCCTGCAGTAGCCTCCTCCTCTGCTCGCAGTGTCTCAGCAAGCTTGCGACTGGCAATGTAAGTGGCATCACTTTCAGCTTCGAGTGCATCACACCGATAGGACTTCAAGTGTTCGATGCTTCCACCATCACCACAGTTGAGACACTTGAAACCCGTACACCTATCCTTTACCAGGTAGTGCACTCGCTTCTTCTTGGCCTGGCTTTGTGGCGAATACGGCAATCCTAAGCATCCAGAGCCCTTGAGAATTTCAATACTGAAACCAGCACATATCTCCGGCATCGCACACCCATATAGCTACTGAGCAACCTTTCGGAGGCGGAGTCACGATGGTCGAAGATTCCGAAGCTGCGGACGAGGTTGCTCGACCTGGGATAATGCGGGTTAGGGGTAAGGGTTTGGGGTTAAAGGGTTTGTAGGGCTAGGGTGTAGCAGGTTTTCGGGCTTTGAGGGTTTAGGGCATTGCGTAGTTTATAAGGTTTCGGCACATCGATCCAATGCAGTTGGAGAGCTTGGAATGGGCAGAGTCAGCATTGGCTTTGAAGTCTCAGAAGTAACAGCCTCAATGGCACAGTGCAAACTCATAAGCTGGATCCAGAACTATTACACCCAACAGGCTAGTATATACATTGCATGATATTCCATAAAAGCCTAGGGGCAATGGATTTTCGAGGATCAACTGAAGCCAAGCCAGCACATCTCGATTCGTGGGTGGGATTCTGCTGTGCTGCGACCTCACCTGCGGGATTCTGCGCTGCGACCTCACCTGCGGGATTCTGTGCTGCGACCTCACCTGCGGGATTCTTTGCTGCGACCTCACCTGCGGGATTCTTTGCTGCGACCTCACCTGTGGGATTCTGCACTGCGACCTCACCTGCGGGATTCTTTGCTGCGACCTCACCTGTGGGATTCTGCGCTGCGACCTCACCTGTGGGATTCTGCACTGCGACCTCACGTGCTGCGACCTCATCTGCGGGATTCTGCTGTGGCTCGACCTCACATGCGGGATTCTGTTGTGCTGCCTCACCTGTGGGATTCTGCACTGCGACCTCACCTGTAGGCTCATCTCGTCTGTGTGCTATGACCCAGCATTTGGCCTCCTCCTCTGCTGCTGGAGTCTCATCCTGCATCGTATTTTCATCCTCCACGTCAAGCTCTAGATCTTCATCCCATTCCTCTTCTGTTTCAGATTCTCCACTACCCTCCCCCACCAAGGACTCCGAGTCGGAGCCAGCATTGCTTCCCGAAGCAGCACCTGGGATGGATAGGGGCATATGCATGTTATTTTATAATATAGAGCTTCGGACTAATCTCAGGTATATTTGTAGTCTAGTCACTCTGTGGCACTGGGATCCCTGATGCACGAAAAAGGTCCCGAACACCCGGGTCGCGAGGAGCATGAGGACGTTTTGCCATTTTGGCAAAAACTGTTATAAGCCTTCTCAAAAGCCATGCTTCAGCTCGTACTTCGTGACCTCGGCATGACATATGTGTTACCACGTAGTAACACATATGTACTACATGCACATGCTATAAATCCTAGCAGGCATATGCCAACATTCAGTCCGGAACCCTGCTTCATCTTCATGTGAATCGGTCTGTAGCCCAGATAGAAGCGCTGAACATACTCCGCCAGTACATGCACTGATGGTCGCAAGCCTCAGGAAGGATGGAATGTATACATGCCCAGATCGATATATGTATCAAGTTCCCAAATCTAGAAAGACTTGTTGTAGGCATGCTGCCGATGTGGTTCAGGAGGGGGGAGAGCAGCTCGATGTTGTCCACAAGTGTGGCACGGTCCAGCTTGCCGTGCTGAAGCACTAAAAGCTTTTTGGCCTTGCAAACCTGTGACATAACCGAAGCACTCTTAGACCAAGCTTTAAGCACAGGGCAACTTTCGGGTGCAGAAGCAGAGTCAACTCTCGGGTTCGACTCCATGGCAATCACTCAGCACGAGCTGACAGTTTCGAGAATTGTAAGAACCCCACACATGTGTATGTGCAACCATTACATCATGCAGGACTATCTGTCAATTTGAGCTAGGGAAAACATATCAAAAAGGCCCCATACATATATGCATGTAGCTGACATCATATCTGTGTGAGCATCAATTATTTAATGAGTTCCTTAAGCTAGAAGCCTAGTGTAAAGACGCACCATCAAGCACTGAGCCAGCTGCTAATGCACAACAGCATGATGGTAGCATGTACAAGCAGAGCATCCACCACTATTCAAGAAAGGCAATAAGGTAACCAAGCCAGCAATGCCTTCAAAGCCCGTCATCACCGTGGTACCTGTCTGCGCAGCTAAGGTAAGCTTCGACCAGTGGGACGCAGATGCACTGTGCACAAACATACAAGGGCGCACCCAGGGGCCATAAGGTGGCAGCAATATGTAATGTGGTTCGGTTTGATGCTGCAAATTGCTATCGAGAACGGAAAACACAAATATGGCCGAAGCAGCACAAAAACATCCGAACCCCAATTTGTGGTACAATGTAAGCAGAAACCATCGCAAACATAGTCCGGACCGAAATAAACATAGCAAAGGAACCCCCAGGTATACTTATGAACGACTTACGAGTCTACACCTTTTCAGGGTTTAGTGTTTTGGAAACCCTAAACCCTATTCCCTAAATCCTACACCCTAAACCCTGAACCCCTAAACCCCTAAACCCCTAAACCCTAAACCCTAAACCTCTGAACCCTAAACCCTACACCCTGTTCGGGGTTTCGTGTTTTGGGGGGCCCATTGAGCGTAGCAGGGAAGGGATCCAAGCGAATGTGAGCTGTCTGCCCACTTAAAAGAGACTACAGATGGGGAGTTTGGGGTACATAGGGCTTCTATAAGGGTCCCTTGAAAAGGGCCTCTTAAAAGGATCTATAGGGTTTAGGGTTTAGGGTTTAGGGTTAGGGAGGTGGGGAGTTTGGGGTATATAGGGCTTCTAGAAGGCTTCCATAAGGTATATAGACCTTCTATAAGGCTCCTATAACGGTAACCACCCACCTGAAAATGTCCTAGACGGAAGACCCTAATAGTGTAGGGGCCGTAATAACTAGAATAGGGTTCCTTTGAAAGGTTCCTGAAAGGGTTTTATCAGGGCTTTCGGATATAGGGGCCTTTATAATTAGAATAGGGTTTTGGGGCCCAAAAAACCAGATCTGTAATAAGGAACCCCCACAATAGTATGTGTAATTATTTAGGCCCCTCTATTGCTATCATCTTGAGGGGCCAAGCGAATGACCAGCGTCTAAGAGTGGTTCCAATCTGTAACTACATCAAGCAACCCGTAAGGATGGTATGACTATGTACTCTGGATCCTATGTCTCTTATGTTAGACTCTTAAACCCTAGATGGGGCGGGTGGCATGGTGGGGAAAAGCTGGGCAAGCGGGGGCTCGGAAAGGAATCTTTAGGCGCGTACAGGCCGCTAGGCCGGAACATGGGCTCGCCGGGGGGGGGTTATGTACCTCTTGTGTGTGTCAGTGTATGTACAAGCTCAGGTAGGTCAGCTCCTTTTTCGACAACCCGCCAGCCTTCCATGGAAGGCTGGTGTGACGGGCGGGCGTTTGAGAGCCTGAAAGAGCGCCCACCTGTTTAAGGCCAACTTGTCGGCGGGTTCCCGATGCCCTAAACCCTAAACTCTA